TTCTTTGATTTCAATAGGCATTTATTTACTTTAATAAAAATCCTTATTTTAATTAAAAATTTAAATACTCATGGAACATTGATAATTAATTAAATGTAAATTACTTGTTTCTTTGTTATGAGTTACAATCAGGAATTAATATATATTGTTGTTGAATTAACAAACATAAACAATTATTGACAATACAAAAAATTATATAAATATTAATTACATGAAAATTTTATTGTTATATGTATAAAATTTTCTCTTACAAAATTCATTAAAATCATCTTCCATTTCAAAAAAAAGAACACTTTTTTTTTTTTTTTTTTATTTTTATTTATTGGTAACAAATCTTTTTCAAATTGATTTTTTTTTTTCCTGATGATCTTTTTTTTTATAAAAAAACAAACAAAAAAAATTGATCTTTTTTTTTTTTTTTTTTTGTGTGTGCATGACCGACTACGTATTCTTCATATAACTAGTCCTTTTATTTTCCAAAAAAGTTAATAAAGCCTTTTATTAACCAGTATGTTAATGCACGATAAACTTTATAGCAGCGTATTTTTTAAAGAAAGAGAATGAATATAGCTAAATTTTAGTAATTAAATAAATGATTAAGAAGACTACTTTAAATTATTTTATAAATATTAGGTATTTTATTAGAAAATATATTTTTTATAAGGAATAAAAAAAATAAATCTTTTAAATATATTAGGAAAAATATTTACAGCAATATAAGGGGTAAGGGGTAAGAAAAATAAATAAATCTTATATTAATTTTAAAAATGTCACTTTTATACAATGAGCGATATGAAATTTGTAATGCAAACTTTACTAATTGTAATTGCGTCTATGTATTATACATAGCAGTAAACTTCATACTTAGTTTATAAAAGGCTTTATTAACCATTTTGGTAATAAAAAGGACTAGCTATATGAAGAATACGTAGTTAGCCATGCACACGCAAAAGAAAAAAAAAAAAAAATTATTAATTTTATTTTGTTTTCTTTTTAAAAATTCAAAGACGTAAAAAAAATATATTTATTTTTTTTAAAAAAAAAAAGAAAAAAGGTGGAGAAAAATTGGTTAAAAATCAATTAGAAAAATATTTGCTACCAATAAGAATGAGATATTAAACATATGGTTAATAAAAGGCTTTATTAACCTTTTTGGAAAATAAAAGGACTAGTTAAATGAAGAATACGAAGTTGGTCATGCACACATACACAAAAAAAAAAAAAATTGATGACTTTTTTTTGTTTGTACTTTCTTTAAAAAAAAGTACAAATACTGTCAGAAAAAATTTTGATATAAAAAAAAAATGCAAGATCATCAGGAAAAAAAATTGATTAAAAAAATCAATTTTTAAAATATATGTTAAAAATAAATAAATAAATAAAAAAAAAAAAAAAAAAAAAAAGAGAAAAGAATTTTTTTTTTTTAAAGAAATGAAATAATTTTTGTGTGATGAATTTTGTAAAAAAAAATTTTATACAAATAAAAATAAAATTTTCATGTAATTAATATATGTATAACTTTTGATATTTGTAAATAATTGTTTTTGTTTGTTAATTCAACAGCATTATATATTAATTGCTGAATGTAACCCATAATAAATAAACTAGTAATTTACAATTAATTAATAATTAATATTCAATAAGAATTTAAATTTTTAATAAAAATAAAGATATTTATTAAAGTATATAAATGTCTATTGAAATTAAAGAATGCTGAATGAAGTAGATCACATAATTAAGGATCACCCTTTCAAAGCATTTAAAAATATATATAAATACATCAAAAATTGTAGAGGCAACTCTACATGCTCTTTATTAATTTGTTTGTTCAGTACTCTAGCAAAGTCACCGAACGCCCAATTAATAAATCAGTTTGTTCATTCAACAGCAACATATTTAAATTGCTGAACGTAACTCATAACAAAGAAATAAGTAATTTACATTTAATTAATAATCAATATTCAATAAGGATTTAAATTTTTCATAAAAATAAGGATTTTTATTAATGTAAATAAATGCCTATTAAAATCAAGGAGTTCTGAATGAAGTAGATTACATAATTAAAGATGACTCGTTCAAAGCATTTAAAAATATATATAAATACATCAAAATCGTAGAGGCAACTCTACATGCTCTTTATTAATTTGTTTGTTGAGTACTCTAACAAAGTCAACGAACACCTAATTAATAAATCAATATAAAATAATATAATATTATTATTTTTTCAAAGGTGATCTATTATATTCTATAAATGTTATTATTAGTCTATTTTAAATAATATGCAAATGAATAAAATAAATATACTATTATATGTGCATACTGTATATGCGGAAAAAATGTGCATATTTAAATTTGCTCAATAAAATTAATTGCTTAAAATTTTTTTTTTTTTTTTTACATATATATTTTTTTTTTAGACGAAATTTAAAAAAAAAAATAACATTTTTTTTGAATGTATCTAGTGTAATATTTTAGTTAAAAAGTTAAAAATGTAACATTTATTATTATATTTTATAAACTATTGAATAAATTAACTTAAACAATAAATAGAATAATAAATTTAAATTTAACATTAACTATATCAAATAAGTTGAGTATTATTTTATTTTTACATTCAATAAAGTAGAGTTTTTTCTACATACCTCTTGTTAACTAATTTGTTCCATATTACAAATTCATTTAACATACAATTAATAAAACAAATAATGATAAAAAATTTTTATTATAAATGAAAAAAAAATTGTTGAAATTAAAGGAAAAAAGAATAAATATAAATGAAAGTATAAATATTGTAAAATAAACATAAAAACAAAGTTAAAAAAACGAAAATTGAACAAAAAAACTAATAAAATTAAGTCTAGAGAATTTACTAACATATCAAATTAAAATTATTTATGACAGAGCAACAATATATACATGAAAATGAAATACCCTTATTTTTTTTTTTTTTTCTTTTTACTTATTTTGTTAAAGAATATCTAATTATTAATAAAAAATAGAGATATGTCTTTAAAAATATAATAATATATTACACGTTAAACAAATTTAAATATTTTATGTTATTAAAACTACAATTATATGAATATATTTTAAATATATAAAAATTAGCCTTTTACTTTTTTTCATATTAAAATGATATTATGTATTGTTTATAAATTTAATTCACATGTATAAAATATAAAAAAATAAATGAATTGCAATTTTTTTTGAAACTTGTTTTACTATATATTTTAATAAAAATCATAGTTAGAATGAAAAAAAAAGGAATCATAATTTTTTTCTTTTTCTTTTTCAGGTTAATTATGCGCGTACTTTTTCTAAGTTAATCTCATATATGTTATAATTTACATTATTATTTTATCAGAAAAATATATAAATTTCATTATTTTATACTTTCATAAATTAATGGACCAGTTTTTATTTTTTTTAAAAATTATTGTTTTAATTGATTTTACGTTATTTTTTAAAATTTATCTATGTATATATTGAATGAATATTTAAAAGAGTTTAAATTTTATTTTAAGAACTTAAATGTTCTAAATAGCTAATAAAATATATAATTTACCTCTTTTAAATTTTAATATGGTAAAAGTGTACTATGTAAAGAGATTACCACTGCATGCAAACATATTCAAAAGGTGCGTATATAATATGATTAAAAAGGTACATGCACGAAGATATTCTTAATAAAATAGTTATAATGGAATGTCGGTATAATGTTTATGTTTAAAAAAAAGATAATTTTTTTTTTGAATAAAAAAAAAAAAAAATAAAATAACTTCTATTTTAATGTAACATTAATGTATTAATAATTTAAGTTTTAAAAATAGCAGATAATAGTTTTTATATGAGCAATAAAAATTTTAATTAAAAGATATAAAATTTTATTACTATATTTTATTTTATATGGTATAATTATATAAAAGATATATATTTATCTATAAATTATTTTGCAGTGAATAAAACAAAGGGAATTTTTATTTCAGCTTTTTACTATTTCTACTATTTGGAGCACCATAAAAAAAGTCAAGTTACAAATTGATGAATCATAATCTAAAAAAAAGTGTAAAAGTTATTATAATAAATAGAGATATAAGAGAGAAAGAAAATGAAAAAACTACAGTAAAGTAATTTCTGAAATAATTGAATTAAAACTAAATAAAAACTCATATAAATAATCCTTAAATAATTACAAAAAACTCATGCATAATTACACTAGTTTTCTTATATATTTTTTTTGCTTAAAACAATTAAGTTTGAAATTTTTTATTCCTTATATATTTCATGATTATTAAAATAAAAATAATTTAAATTTTCCTAAAAAATTTATTAGAAAAGAAAATTTTTTTTTAGTAATAAATAATGGCACTTTCTTACTAATTATTTAAAAAAAAAAATTTAAATATTAATTGTTCTACACTATAAATTAAAAATATGTTATTCAATAATATAAAATAATAAGAAAATATGTTAAATTTATAAATGGAAAATTATTATATTTTTTTTTCTCTTAATTTTTTAATTTCAATTGTTATATTACATTATAATTTTAATTATTATTCCATTTTTTTATTTAATTAGATATATTATTTTTATCTAAAAATAACTATATTAATATAAAACACCATAGGTGAAAATTAAAAGCTTGCTTTCATTATAAAATGTTTATTTTTATTTTGAAAATATAGAAACATTATATGCAATATATTGGTGGCTTAAAAGATATGAAGAAATCTTATAAAAACTAAAATTGAATTAAAAATTTAATTAAATTTAATTAATATGCAATAATATATGGAATTCAATGTAATAGTGAAAATAAATAATTATTCATTTTTTATTAATATGACCTTTATGTTGTCTTAATTTTAATATTTATGTTATCATAATATGAAACATTCATTTGAAGACATACATAAATATATACTTGATGGTTTTTTTTAATTATTTATTAAAAAAAACTAATAAAACATGCAAAAATAATTATAATTTAATATATAATGGATACAGAAAAAGAACCACTTATAAGAAAACGTAGACACATATCCGGGCCATTGGCATCTCCTATATTGCAACGAGGACTACTTAAAGATTGGAGGAGAAGATTCTATAATGGTGTTGACGTCAGAATTAGCAAAATTAAAAATGAAAAATCTCTGAAAATGAAAAGGAGACTCTGCAGGTATTTGAATTATTGGGTTGATGAGAGAAGGGATTATTTCACAACAACTTTAAGAAAACAATTACTTTTATTGGGAGATATTAATAAACATTGGGCAGATACTCATAATAGTGTAGTTGAAAAATTAAAAGCATCCTTCAATGATTCATGTAAAAGAATAGAGAATAAGAATAAGAAAGATGTAAGAGATAAAAAAAAAGTTATGGAAGATTTTTGTGAAGATAAAGAAGAACGTTTACAAGAATTAAATGAAAATGTGACAGAAGAGAAATGTAGAGATTACAGTAATTGGTTAAATGAAAATAAAAGCAATTTTGAAAAAAAAAAATGGATTAATGAACAAATGATATTTGATGAAAATTTAGAAATTTCTGAAAACTGTACACTAAATAATATGAATACATTTGTTACTAGCTTAGATTGTATAAGAATCAATAAGAAAGAACACGATTCTTGTGATTCTGAAATATCAGAAAACTGTAATCAATCCCAACTTTTAACTCCTGATAGTTCATTTGGTAATGCATCTGATCATGCTTCAATCGAAACTACTGCATTAAAACCAAATGCTACTACTAATTTACCTACCACTACAATAAACTCCACAACTACAACTGAAATTAGATCAAATACTTCAATTGAATCTACTACCCCAACACCAGGATCTACACAAAAGTTAACATCAACTATTGTGTCTATACATTCAGATCCAAATTTACCTATACCTTTACCTCTAAAAGCAAGTGAATCTGGAATCTCCCAAAGAGATGTGTCACCTACTACTCCAACACCAAGTTCTACTTCAAAGATAGCATCAACTTCTATGCCTACACCTTCAGATGAAGATTTACCTAGAGCTTTACCTCTAATAGCCGATAAAACTATGGATGAACAAGTTATAAATGATATTATTCCAACATATAGAAATAATGACATATCTCCAACTGTTAGCGATTCAAGTGAATCTTCAATTTATCCTACATTTAGATCTACAAATACAAATATATCTGGAAATTCACAAACAGAATCGCCTCCGACTACTCCAACATCTGCACCTAGCATTACTTTACCATCTATTGCCAATCAAAAAAATATGCCTATAACTATTCAAGCACCTAAAACTAATTCCACATCATCTTCTAACACCACTTTAAATAAACCGTCAATTTCTCCTAAATCTGCAAACCTAAATGAAACTCAACCAACAACTATATTTGAAGCTACTACAACATCTGGAAATACATCCACACCTACATCTACTACCAAAGCTGCAAATATATCTACAAATTTACCTATAAGTGCGTACGCAAATACAAATACATCTACAGATTTATTTACACTTACGCCTACAAATTCAAGTATTAATTCCACATTAATTACTAATAAATCTACATTAAATTCATCTGTGAATACTTCTCTTACAAATATAAATTATTATGTAAATGGAAACCACTCTAATGATAATATACAAAATATTGCATCTAATAACACTCTAACTACTACTCCACTACCTATCCAAAATGCTACTATAAAGGTAACATCTAATAACATTCTAACTACTACTCCGATACCTACCCAAAATACTACTACAAATGTAACAACTGATAATCCTAACACTCCCACATGTACAGCAAATATCCCTGTGTTGATTGCCCTTTCATTGGGTGCATCACTTTTATTAATTATTTTCCTTTTCGTTATTCTCTATAAGGTAAGATGAAATTATTATAAATATATATTACTGCATTCCTTTTAATTATTTTTCTTATTTATTATCTAATTATCATTAAAAATTTATATTTTATATACTTAAAATTTTCTATTTATGTAATAGCATAGACCTATTAGATTTTTACCTGGTAAAGGAACAAAGAAAAAGAAAAAACATACAAAAAAAAAAAATCAGAAAGAAAATTCAATGAATTTTATAATGAAGCCTTCAGATATTCCATATGAATTACTAGAAAATAATATGCAACTCAATAATTTATGTAACAAAACAAATAATTCATTATGTAAAATTGTTTTTGAAAATGAAATAGATAATACATTTATAGAAAAATCAGGAGAAAACGAAATTAATATAAAAACAAAAAGTGATATTGCTATAATAAGAGAAGAATTAAAATGGAAGATTATAATAGAAACATATATGATAGTTATAGACGAATGTAAAAAGGAGGAATGGAAAAAGAACAGGAAAGTATTTTTTGAAATTTGTTTGGATGAATTAAAAAAAGAAGGTATATATTTAGATATAACAATAGAAAAGGAGAAAAAGGATAATATTACTATTATGCTAGAAAATAAAAAACTTCTGTGGAAACTGTATAAAAAAGGACATAAAAAGAATTTAGAAAAATGGAAAAATGAAAAATGGTTTGAAAATTTGAAGAGAGAATGGAAAGATGAGGAAGATAACTATTCTGAAATAATAAAAGAAGAAAAGATAATAAAAAGTACAGAAAATGATTTAAGTAATCCTTCTATGGAAAAACAAAAAATAATATGGAGGAATTGGGTAAAAAAACATATAACGTGGTTGCATGATTCTGATGACCAAAGATGGTTTAATGAATTATTAGAAAAATACAAAATAGAAGAAGAAATAAAAGAAAATATAGAAAGAGAAGGTAGTGAAGAAGGAAATATTAAAATGGAAAGAGAAGAAAAATCAGATAAAGATTCAAAGAAAAGCAATTTAAAATTGAATTTATGGATTGATATACATATGATGGTGTTAAAGGAATGTAAAATAGAGGAGAGGATGATAATAAAAAATGAATTTCTTAAAACATGCATAGAAGAATTGAAAAGAACGATAAATCCAGAAGAAATGTTGGAAATAGAAAAAGAAATAAGAGAAGATATTACATTAGAAAATAAAAAAGAAGAATTAGAAAAATTAATAAGAGAAAATTGGTTTATTGAATTGAAAATAGATTGGAATAAGAAAGAAAAAAAATATATGGAAGAGTTAAGTAAAAAAAACTTACTAGAAAATAATGAAGAAAGAATTAAAAATTTTATGATTTATGACCAAAAAATTATATGGAAGAAATATTGGGAAGAAATGAATATGAAATGGATAGAAAATGAAAGCATGGAAAAATGGCTAATAAATTTGATAGAAGAAAATGAAGATGAAAACAAAGTGAAATTAAAAGAAATAAAAGAAATAAAAGATAAGCATGAAGAATATAAAGAAAAAACAAATACGAGTAAAAAAGGACGTAAAGTAGAAGAAAAAAAAATGAAGGACGAAGAAGTACAAATAAAAAATAAGAAAAATTCTATTACATTAAAAAGAAAGCCAAAATGGAAAACTATGAAAGAAATACAAATGATTATAATGGAAGATTATAAACAAAAGGAGTGGGAATTGAATAGAGAAAATTTTTTGAAAATTTGTTTGGATGAATGGAAAAGTGACGAAAGATTATATGGAAATATAATGGAAAAAAATAGTACAATGTATATAGAAGAAAGTAGTATTATTGTATTAGAAAGACAAAAAATGTTTTCCAGCAAATTGATAGAAAGACATGA